TCCTGCAAAAGAAACTCAACTTTCCTAGGTCTCAGTTTTCGTGATCTGTGAAATGGGTATGAAAACAGATGGCAAACTCACATGATTATTAAGAGCACTGAATAACCAAACTATGAAAAAATTTAATAGCTAGTCAGTAAAAGCAAATTTTCTTGCCTTTTCCAAAAATTAGTAACAAGTAAAACATAAAGACAATGTGAGAGCTAATCAGTATATGTGGCTCAGGACATGCCTAGATTTTCCCGTATTTTGTAAATTACTCTTATTACACCGTGTATTGGTCTTGACTAGTGTTTAATCTCTCCTTTTGCAACCTTTGCCAATCCCCCTCTTTTTCCCTTTTGGCTTTGCTCTCCCTTTCTCCTGCTCTTTCTTTCTCTCCTTCACACACACACACACACACACACACACACACACACACACACACACACACGCCCTCTCTCTGTGTCTCTCTGTCTCTCTCTCTCTCTCCTCTTTGTCACAAAATTCTTCCTAATTAAAAAAACATCATAAATGCGACAAAAACACAGCTGGTACCCAGCCCAAACACGGTGAGCTCAAGGACCAAACCCAGGAAGCAGAGTCCTCTCATGCTGCTCAGAGGTTTCATTCTCAAACTCCAGCAAACAGACCTTTGCCCCAGTTTTATGGATAAACTGAAACTGGGCTAATAACCACAGTAGTGTGACCCACTCTCAGATATAACTGACTTTGTGTCCTTCACAATCTGGCGAAACTACAGTTACAGAAAACACAATGTCCCGTAAAGCAGACAAGGATGCTGCAAAGGATAAGAACTGAGAAAACTGTCCGCACAGTTAGTGGTCTGGGGAAAACTTCAGTGCAAAGATATCAGTATCCAGTCTGCACTTGACTAAGAAACACTGAAATACACCTGCCCGTCTGCTTCCATGCTCCTGGCCCTGATGATCATAGACTCACGCTCTGAAACTGTAAGCAAGCCCCCGACGAAACGCTTTCTTGTATTGAAAACAAAGCACTGAGATAATAGAGGCCTCAAGCATAGACCACCCTTTCAAGACATGCAGCTGAAGGAAAGGACAATAATGTTTCACTTCAGCTCTAGGGGGCATTCCTGCCACAACAGAGACTGTCCCTTCTGCAGGGAGCAAAGGTCAAGCTGCGAAGACCCTCAGCACAATGGAACTCCAGAGAGGGTGTGCTGGGAACAGAGCAGAACCTGAGTGGGGAATTTCTAGTCCTGTCTTCTCTGCTTGGCCTTTTGGGGTGGAAACAAATGTATTTCTTGGGGTCTATTTGTTTCTTGACTTTCAGAATACATTTTTCTTTTTATGAAAGTCAGTGGGAAAAATACAATTCCTGTTCCAGTGTTTTAAAAATCACTTTCTGGAACATATCTACTTAACTGACAATTTAATAACAAACTCTCAGTAAGATGACAGATGTTTAGATATACAATGATAAAACGAAGTTTTGTCTTTGTTTTAGCAATTACTTTTATCATTTAAGAGAACCAAGTTTATTTCTATTGGTGCTCATAATGCTGAGGGGTTTTATAGTGAAGATCTGAGGGTTCCAGCAGGAAAAACCCTCTCATAAATTTAAACACAAGCGGATCCTCAGTCTAGAATCAAAATCTGTTTAATGTCTCAAAAACCCCAGAAGCCTCAGTTACAGGCAGACAATTCATACTTTAGGGAAACTCACAGCAGAGGGCTGGAGAGTCCTGAGGAGTTCAGTGTACATTTTGCAGTCCTGACTGCTTTCCCCAGCCCAGGCATTTGAGACACCAGAATGTGACTGTTTCATGACAAGCTGGATGATAGGCAGCGTTCAAATACTGATGTCTTGGTGTATTTAAAACTCCCAATTCTTTTTCTTACTTCTCGTGGCTACGGATCTGTCCATGGGAACGAGACCCACAAGAAATTACGGCTAGTGACACACAGCAGAAGTGGGTAGCCACGCTGTTATCTTTAACTAACTGAAGTTGGCACAGGGATAGAGCATGAGCTGACCCTGCTAACAATCGACCGTTTCTTTCCTCCCCTCAACCCCCACCTCCCCTGTCTGGAGTTTAGGGATAAAGAAACCCATTTTATCTTTTTGGATAGGGGGAGTTGATAGGAAAAAAATCAAACATTTAAATTTGAATTCTTCATGGAGTTACTCATGGGTTTTGTTTTTTTAATTTCTGGCTTTGGTTATTTTTCAAAAATAGAGCTCTTTAGAAAAGTAAAGTTTATTGATTTTTAAAGAGTCCAGTGTTGAGCTATAAAAATTGATTGATGCTCTGTGATATCATCATAAGGTTTATCTTAACACAGTATAAGTCGTCATCCAGATCATCTGTGCACTCTGGCTCTTCTTAGTTCACAATATGAATTAGTACTGTGTCACTGTACTTATGAGTAAGGAACTCCAAACTACACACACTTGATAGTATCACACAAGGGTTGCGGAAAGAAAATCGAGGCAAGGAGCCCAGCATGGTGGTGTGTCCCAGCACTGGGGAAGCTAAGGAAGGGGGATTCTGTCCAGAGCCAGCCAATTGGGGGGTTAGGGAGGGAAGGTAAGAGATCCCTGGACAACCTGACTTTGTAAATAATGTGGTAAGTTATGAAGCATACCCAACGATGTCAACCTCACGTCTTCATATGCATCAAACCTATAAATACATGTGCTCATGTATAGTCAAACATGCATGCACATACATATACACATACCACACAATACATATGTTAAAAAGAGAGAGGATAAAAGAAAGTGGGGAGAAGAAAGAAGATAGAAAGGTAGGAAGGCAAGGGCTGGAATTAATAGTCAAACACCAGAATGGTTTCAAAGTAGCAACGTCTACTCAAAACGGGTTCTGCATTGTCTACAAAGAGTTAGCGCATCCTATGAATAAGTGCATCTTCTCTGACATCACATGTCCACATCTGAAGTCCAGCCCTAGTCCTCAGAGACGGGGCAACTGGAGGCGAATGTTTTGGTTCCTGTGTGAAAAACAATGGTTATACAAAACAACTCATTGCTAACATCTACAAGAACTATAATGATTCAATAGGATGGCCCACTAAGGAGAAGACCAGACATCTTTTAGGTGCTCAGTAAACATCAGCTGGGCTCACTTTCCATGTCATCCTTACATTCCTAGAAGCTGTCATCTACAGTCACCAAACACACTGTAAGTTAGGATTGTATTTTCATGCTATGGTATCTAATTCATTTCCTTCTAGCTTCATTTACATTCTACTTTCAAAATTTGTTCTATTTCATCTTGATATTTGATGTTTGTACCCATAATAAATCAAGAACTTAGACAACAAACTTCTGCTTCTGCATTGTGTTAGTTTCTTATTCACTACAACTAAATGCCTGACAGAAACAACTTAAAGAAGGGATCGTTTCAGCTCACAGTTTCAGGGTGCGGTCCACCATGAATCTGCAGTCAGGAAGCAGAAGGCAATGAAGGCCCCAGCCTGCACTCTCCTTTCTATCCAGTCTAGGTCCCCAGCCCCAGGGATGGAATTACCCACACTAGGACCGGTCATCCCACCTCAACTGACTTAACCTAGCAATTCCCTCACAGACATGCCAGAGGCTATTTCCATGGTGACTCTGGATCCCGTCAAGCTGACACTCAGACCAACTCTCATTCCCATCCATTAGGACATACTAATACTAGTTACCAGAGAGCACATTACAAGAGAGAAAGAAACTTTATCATTAAAAGAGGAATACATTTTCACACATCTCTAGAAGTAAATTCTACCTATTAGCCAGATTTAATATCCACATTCAAATATTTCTATATTTTAAATCATTATCATATTATTTTTTCAAGATTTGTTTATTTATTATGTATATAGTGCTCTGTCTGCATATATTCCTACACGCCAGAAGAGGGCACCAGATCTCATTACAGGTGGTTGTGAGCCACCATGTGGTTGCTGGGAATTGAACTCAGGACCTCTAGAAGAGCTGCTGGTGCACTTAACCTCTGAGCCATCTCTCCAGTCCTCATCATATTTTAAAAAACAAAAATGTAAAAGCAGGGTAGAGCCTGAGAAATGACTCAGTGGGTAAGCTGTGCAAGCAGGAGGACCTGAATTCAGATCTCAGCACTCATGGAAAATAAAAATTTAAAAAAAAAAAAACCTGCCATGAGCCAGCACACACCTTTATTCCCAGCACTCAGAAGGCAGAGGCAGGTAAGTCTCTGAGTTTGAGACCAGCCTGGTCTACACAGTGAGTTTTAGGACATCCAAGGCTACATAGAGAAACCATATCTCAAAACATACACAAAAAAGAAAGAAAAAAAAACCCCACACAAACCAACTTCGGCATGACCATGTCCCTCTATAACCCTGCGCCGTAGGGACAGAGGAAGAGAGTTTGCTGGCACTTGCTGACCACCAGCCTAGCTCCAGCCTCAGTGGGAGATCTTAGAGCAAGGGAAAAGGCAAAGAACGACAGAGCAGAGAGTTAAGTGGGGACAAAAATGAGGGGGGAAAGGAGCACTGTATTTTCCCAGGGAACAAAGCTCAGCCATCACTGAGCAGACAATTAGCAGGGTGATCACTGAGGACAAGGGACAGGACAGCCAGTCTGCCGAGTCAATTGCTAGTCAATCATTGATTCAAAATTGATGAAAGCCCATTCACCCATCATAAGATGTGGGGGGAAGAAGAAAAGTAGGTATAAAATAGAATTAGCTAACAGTGGTTCAGAGCAATTTTTACAGTTCTACATCAATTAGGAGAGTGAAAGAATTAGTCCATATATTCAAAGACTCTCCTGGAGTTTTCAAGTTAAAACTTAGAAAAGTAGTTACTGCTGAGCCCCAGGAACAGCGTGCACATATTCCTTCTCTTTGTCAATAGTTCACAAAATAAAATAGTCAATGCTTCTATCTAAATTCCATTTTGGCTAGATTGGCCACAGTTCAGGAGAAGGTTAGAGAAGTTTCCTCAGAGCCTGCCATGGCTCCCCTAGAAGGGCACAGAGAGGCTTACCCATACTCATCTTGATGGGCAGGTTTTCTCTGCTGGCTGCTTCCACTAGATGTCTCCGAACTTCCATCACGGCCTCCTTGTGCTTGGTGTTCAGTAAGGCTTCCCACAGGGCCTGGGCTGAGACGTCACTACAGAGGAAGCACAAGCCAGCTTAGAATACATTCCTGTTGGGAAATGGGAAGGGCTGGAAGGAAAGGGAAATGCCATCATTTCCTTACAAGCACTGATACAGGCATTCCCACTGGTAAGGATTAACTCGATACAGAATAGCTCATTCATATAATGGGCAGAATATTGAGGAATTAAGGGGACAACAAAATCAAGACATAAGGGAGAAGAAAGGCTACAGTGTTCCATGAAAATATGAGAAAATTACGTATTAGATATTTTTTTGAGGTTTTTTAATTGAAAGTAGTTCACAGTGCAATTCATTGGTAAAGAAACATGAATGTCATATAAGTCAAAATTAAATGTAAGGCTAAAAATGGCTTATCAATAGTTACAAGCACTGTGTCAACTTGAGCCTGAGAAACACAGAGAAATCCTCAATGAGGATTCTTGTACGGCTTCTCAATAGACTTCCTAATCAGCAGACTTGCTACTGAATAAGAATGAGGGCTTGCACTCAGGAGCAGGCCTGAAGTATTCCACTCCAGGCCTTCAGTTGGAAGGATGGCACTTATAGAAGCCTTTACAATGATCTGTTGATAGCAGCCCCAAGCACTGCATTATGCAGGGTCTCATCTGGGTTCACTTCCCAGTAGCTCTCTGTCTCATCCGCCATGCTGTGTCCCCATTATAAATGAGTGCAGTGTTCTTTCCGGAAGGCCACTGCCACAAAGCCAAGAATACACATTTGTAGTAACGTTTTCAAAACTCCATAGAAAGGAAACAAGGATGACTTCTGTCCTATCTCCACTTAAAGCCCCACTAACTCAGACACTAACCTCTCAATAGAGGAGTAGGTCTGATTATCACCACTTTTCCATAGTGAAGTAACAGCTTTAAACACTCAAAACTATAACTCCTCTGATGGTTTTCCTGGCTACAACTTGACAGACTGAGTGATACATAGAAAATCAGTAAAGCACATTTTTCAATATCTGTAAGGATGTTTCCAGAGGGTCAGTGAACTGAGCAGGGAAGACCTGACCTGAATGGAAGGAACATTGACTCTTAAGTGTGGGCATTCTGTCGCTGACGCCACTGCACAAGACTCTATGTTCAGCTTTTGAATGCACACTCACATCAGAGACTTACAAGAAGCTTCCAGGCCTCCATCCTAAGCCTCGGGCTAGACCTTGCCCCTCACTGATCCCCTACCTTGTCTGAGGCATCCAGCTTCTTCAACAGAGCAGCAACCTCTAGCTTTCCAGCTGCTCACAGCTATTGTGGGACTCTGAGTCTGCAAGTGTCTAAGCCCTTTTTATAATTATACACTCAGCCTTTGTGCTCCTCTAAAAGACCCTAACAGAACTCTGCATCTATTATCCTTAAGTTTAAATAAAGGAATGGGCAACTTACATGGCATGCCCTATATGTAGCTGGCATACATATAAAATAAACTTTCAATGACTTAAAATCTGGAAACTTACATATTTATAATACATAAGTAAAAACATTACAAAAATGTGATATGAGTCATGATTGGTGAGTAAATAGATTCTATGCAAATATAATCCTATCTTGGAGGATAGGGGCTGAGAGAATAATTTCTACTATAAATAAGAAACATAAGCTCTAAATGCAGCCAAAGGAAGAAGTTATAACTCAACAAAATAAAATAAATAATGGAGTATTTTCTCTGAATTTGTCAAATAATAATGGACTAGATATTGTGATGTAATTATTGCCTGTATATAATATATATAGTTATTATACTTATTGTATATAGTTTTCCTTATATTAGTTATAACCTTCTTTTATTATTTTTAGACAAAAAAGGGGAAATGTGGTAATATATTGTTTGTAATCTAGGAAATAAAGCTTTCCTGAAGATCAGAGGACAGACCAAGCCACAGAGTTAGCCAATGAGGTCAGGCAGTGGTGGCACACACTTTTAATCCTAGCACTCAGGAGGCAGAGGCAGAGGCAGAGGCAGAAGTCTGTCTGGATTTCTGTGAGTTCAAGGCCACACTGGGCTACAGAAGATTAAACCAGTCTAAAAGAGAAACAGTCCAGGCAGCGGTGGCACACACCTTTAATCCCAGCACTAGGAAGGTTGAGACAGGAACTGATTTGACTGGGCAGAGAAAGGAATATAAGGTGGGAGGAGACAGAAATTCACTCTTTTCAGGCTGAGGAGTTGGTGAGGTAAGAGGTGGTAGCTGTGGCTTGCTCTGCTTCTCTGACCTTTCAGCTTTCACCCTGATATCTGGTTCCAGGTTTTTATTATAAGACCATTTAGGATTCGTGCAACAGGAAATAGAGACTTGGATATTCAGCCTCAGCTCACTGTCTCTTTTTTCAGTCTGGAACCTAGCCCAAGGGAAACTGCCACTCACATTCAGATGGTTCTTCCCTCCTACATTAAACTTGCCTGAAACACAGACACATTCCTGGGTATGATTCTAAATCGCAAGTTGAGAATCAAGATTAACCATCACAGATTCACTTCTTATCAAGTCAATCCCCAAATATATCACTTTTAAACCTTAGCATCCCACTCCTGGTCCTCAAATATCCATGAACATTTTATAATGCACAATACATTCAGTTAATCTGTAAAAAGTCTTTCAAATGTCTACAGCTCTAATATTGTTCAAATTCCCCAAGTCCAAAGTTTCCTGAGACTCAAGGCAAAGTAAGATCACACAAAATCAAAAACAAGTTACATATTTCTATTATACAATGGCACATTCCAAAGGGGAAGAATAGAGTTATAGCAAGAAAATAACAAACCTATGTAAAGCCAAAGCCAGCAGAGAAAATACCATACCCTCCAACTCTGGATCTAACATCTGGGGCTTTCGGTAGTGGTATCCTCTGGACTCCAGTGGACTGGAGCAGCCCCACCCCTTTTGCTTTGCTGCTTATAATAAAGCCCACAACACATATGGCTCCTCTCATGGGCTGGCTCCCTTCTATTCCTCGGTGTATGGTTCACAGTCCTGGAACCTCCAACATCCAGGGTCTCCACAGTAGCTTAGGCTTCCCCATCACAGTTTTATGTAATGGCCTCTTAGGACCTTGCAGGGAATCCTGTCCTATTAGACACTGACCGGCCCCAGCAGCTTTCTATGAGTTTGGGGAAAAGCCGCTATGACCCTGTATGCCTTGCTTGTGTGCCTAAAAACCACCACCATGTGCGGTGATACTGTGCTCCCCAATATATCGTGTACCCTAATAAATTTATCTGGGGTCAGAGAACAGAACAGACACTAGACAGACCTAAAGGCCAGAAAATGGTGGCACTCACACCTTTAATCCTATCACTTGCAAGGCAGAGATCCATGCGGATCTCTGTGAGTTTAAAGCCACATTGGAAACAGCCAGGAATGGTGACACATGCCTTTAATCCCAGGAAGTGATGGCAGAAAGCAGAAAGGTATATAAGGTGTAAGGACCAGGAACTAGAGCTGGTTAAGCTTAGCAGTTCAGCTGAGATTCATTCTGGATAAGGACTGAGAGGCTTTCCAGTCTGAGGAAACAGGATCAGCTGAGGAACTGGAGAGGTGAGGTAGCTGTGGCCTGTTCTGTCTCTCTGATCTTCCAGCATTGACCCCAGTACCTGGCTCCAGGTTTGTTTTTTATTAATAAGAACTTTTAAGATCTGTGCTACAACCATGTAATGATGACACTACCAAATTCTGCTGTGAGGTAAAGATACAGTCCGATAGCCACCCGTCCCACACATATACTTACTTCTATTACAGCATTAATGAATTCTATGTGCTCTAGAAGCTTAACTTGTAAATATGGAGAGATCAAGTTGTCATCAGTAAGGAACTTTCCTTCCTCCCTGTGGGCTAGCATCTGTAGTATTAGATGGTGTTCTGCAGACTTCTGGGGGTGGGGCAGAGAATACTCAACAGTCTTCCCAGCTGTGACCCGGGAGCTACAGTAATGATGGTTGTGGCAAGATATGAACACGGGTGCAATAGCGGCAAGAATGCCACGGGAGGCCTGCTTCACCCGAGGAAGCACATGCCTGGGACTATAAACCTGGTGAAGAACTGGGAACTCAAGGCCCCCAGAGGGGAACTCACTACTATTAGTTTGCTAAATGGACATAGTATCAAACTAACCTCTAAATTCATTTTTTATAAGCATAGATTAGCACAGCTCTCAGACCTTATCAGTTAAGGGTTTTGTGCAGTAGATGGTAGTTTGAATGTAATTAGCCCTTATAAGCTCTTAGGAAGTAGTATTATTAGGATGTGTGGCTTTGTTGGAGTAGGTGTGCCCTTGTTGGACGAAGTGTGTCACTGTGGAGGCAGGTTTGAGATCTCACATATGCTCCAGCCACTCCCAGTGTCTCAGTTCACTTCCTGTTGCCTGCAGACCAAGATGTAGAATTCTCAGCTCCTTCTCCAGCCTCATATTTACCTGCACACCACCATGTCACACCAGGATGATAAAGGACTAAACCTCTGAACTGTAAGCCAACCAATTAAATGTTTACCTTTTATAGAGTTGCCATGGTCATGGCATATCTTCACAGCAATAGAAACCCTAACTAAGACAGAAGTTGGTGCCAGGGACTGGGATATTGCTGTGATAGGCTAGGACATGTTTTTGTTTAGAGTAATATGGACTTTAATAGTTTGGGTTAGGAAAGCAGTGGAATGCTTTAGGCACTGCTTAACGAGCCATAATAGTAGGAACATGGAAGACAGTAGTGCTAAAAGTTATTTGAACCGTGGGGGCCTGACTAAAGAGGTTTCAGTGGAGAATATTATTAATAATGTGGCCTAGAGATTGTTCTTGTGATATTTGGAAAAATGTGGCTGCTTTTTGCCCTTGTCTGAAAAGTCTGCCTGAAGCTAAAGTGAAGAGCTCTGGATTAATTCCATTGGCAGGAGAAATCTTAAAACAGCCTAGTATTGAATCTGTTATGCGGTTACTAGTGTTCACTCTAATGAAGATTTATAATGAACAGGAGGAAGCTGGGCAAATAAAAAACACA